CCTCCATTATAAGGTGCATCTTGATTCATACATGCAGTCTGTGTGCAATGCAAATTTCAAGCAGACCCTCGTCCACAATGTTAACCAGCCTGCAAGCTATCGCTGCCCATTTAGCCATGGCCGTCTCAGACACAAGGTTGCATTTTACACAGATTTGGCACCATGTGCAGCAAAACCAACACTACCTTGCAGAAGTGTGACATCTCCTCTCCCTGGGCCCAGAAAGCCCGGCCCATTCATTCCACCAAAGCCATCGCAGTGCTTGTTATCCTGATTGTAGTGAACGGGAAGAAAGCAAACCAACCTATCAACCTAATGTAACCGAGGACGACATCAAATGAGCTATGTGTATGAAAATAAGTTGAATCTTTGTGGATGTAGAGGCAGAGACCAGCGGCTCCTCTGCAGCCGAGTTCAGGACGCCACTTTAACGCAAGAGCTGCAGGGTTGTACTGCAACAAAACCAAACTCCACTGTATTACAGTACATTGTGTTGCAGGCTACGGTCAGTCAAGTTATTAGTAGGAATGTGGCAGTGTTGTGTTCAAGTTTCCCCAGGAATCTGCACAGCCTACAGTTACACAGGATATTCTGTTTAATCATCATGAGAAAGCAAATCTCATGAAATTAAAGTAAAACTATACTGTCAGTCATTTTTTATAGTAGAAACATTGCATCATTAAGTACTGTACAAGAAAGTCCTCAAAAGCAAGTACTTGAAGTTAATCTGGAAAAGTGGTATTGGTTTATCCCTAGTTTTGTTTGGGTCCAGCGGCTGGGCTCCTCTGTCTTCAACCGTAAACAGGATGTTTTTGGCGTCGACAAATTGTCTGGTCATGTTTGGACAGACGGGGTCATTTGTGAGAACACTTCCAAAGAAGATGTGCAACTTTGTCCTGTAAGGAAATACAAATTATAGCCCAGATCAGATTCAGGCTATAATAAGATCGAGTAGCAGGAGGGCTCAAGCAAGTTGGGTCTGAAAGGCCAGGCTCAGTCTACAGAGCTCTATCCCACACTACAGTCCAAGTCAGACAGCTACAGCATTACAGGAAATCACCAAACCAAGGTTTGACTTGTGATTTAAGAATAAATAAAACTTCCATCTGAAGTAAAGGCCAAACGGTGATCAACAAGAGCCCTGATAAATTTTCCTACTTCAGCTTCAGTGTGAGGATTTGACTTTTCCTCATTACAAACATTGCACCACTGCCTCATTGATTAATTTCTGAAAATCAACCAAAAAATTCAAGCCCTTGTCTGAAAAACATACAAGACATTGTCCTGTTGTCAGTTATTGAAACCAACCCACAAGCTGTTCTCTGGACAGTGACCTCACCTGGCACATGAACCCTGGGATGATGCGGTGGAAGGTGCAGCCATTGTATCCGAAGCCCTTCTCGCCAGTGCAGAGGGCGCGGAAGTTTTCAGCCGTCTTGGGCACCACGTCAGCAAAGAGCTGTATAAACAAAAACACAGCCAAAGTCAGTCAAGGGTTGTAAATAACAGGTCATGAGTCAATTGTACATACAATTGACTCCAGTTGGGGTTGTTCTTCAGAGGGTAAACTGTACAGTAGGTCACCAGTAAAACTTCCATTTGGGCTGCTGCCATCCAGACCCTGAGCCAAAACCAGAACTGATTTATCAGACTGCACCTTGTTCAGTGCAGCAACTGGTTGTGTAACTACCTATACAGGCTTAGGAAAAACCCAGCTACAAGGAGGCATGTGCAGAAACAAAACCATGTTACAACCTTTATACGGCATCCCACAATTCTGAAGACATTTAAATTGCTGCACACATCTGCTGACGTTCACTCAAAAGTGGCTTTATAGGTTTAGAAAAACTAAACGCAGAAGGTTGACATGCAAGTGAAGCTGTTCAAGTACATTGAAAGTGCAGCCAGCCCATTAAACCCTAGTCAGCTCATATCGTGTAGAAACAGGATGGCATCACTGCACCTGACTGGAACAGCTGCCCACAGCCATGCAAGCTTATTGAGAGGGAAGGGGTGGGGCTGCAGCAGACAGGCTACCCAGCTGATCTCAGGCCAGCTGTCCAGCCTGTCACCTGCAATGCTGCAACAGAAACCTGGCTATGAGGGTAAAGCTGGCCTTACACAAGGAGACTGATAAGACTCACAACTACGGTCTGACCCAAGACTGGGGATCTTGCAGGGTCAATATTTGCAAGACGGGGGGGGGACGTGGACATAACCCAGTCTGATTAGGAGTGAGATCAGTCCACGTTTTGTCCTCCGTTGCAGTATGAAGGAGATGACACATTAAAGAGACTTGCTCACTCCAGTTTCACCAGCGGCTCAACTGGAGTCTATCATATTTACTACTCTTCCTGCTAGGTGCTGGAAGAAAGCTCACCTTTTAGTTGGTTGTTGTGCAAGTCACTGTTGGCTGAAGGCCCATAAAAACTGCAGACCCTGCTTGAGTTACTGCCCGGGCAAATGTGTTTAATATTATCCCAAGTCTTGGGATAATATTAAACACATTTGATTTTAATCAGAATGTTAAAATGAGGAAAAGTGACAAACTACTCTGATCACCACCAAACAGACGATGCGAATTCAACAACCGTAGCAAAACTTGATTTACTCAAACAGAAAATTTGTCAACACAAAATCACTTGAAAAGGTGTTAGGTGTATGGCTGGCAAAAGAATCAAACATGTAAAGGCCTGAAGCTTTTGCACATGCACAAATACAGAACAGTACCACACAGGTACAACCAAAAACAGTTAACATGAAGAAAAACCAAATTCATAACCTCCATGTATTGCTGTTGTGTGTCTGTGTATTTTCATACATCTACACCCAATTTACTGCTTGTGGTATGTCACAGTATCCCATCGCACTAATACAGGAAAAGGAAAGAACTCAGACCCTTATAATTACAGAGCAGTTTGCTCCAGATGAAACTCTAGTTACCTGTCACATCACACACCGACTGAGATTACCCAGGTGTGGAGCTGTGCACCGTGTAAGCGGAGACCATTAAGTTCAGCTTAGGCGAAAACTCGTGCCAAACTCGGGAACGCCCATACCCAGGCACAGCTGCTGCTGCTGCTATGCACAAAATGGCTGCTAGCCGCCTTCAGTTCACAGCTGCTAACGTTAAAGGAGCGGATGGAAACGGCCCGCCCGACAATGGCGTCATTACAATCGCTGCTGTTGCTTATGTAACACTATGCTTATTTATTATGGGCACAAGAGACTTGAGGCGTCCCGGTTGCTTCAGCCACAACGCCCCCCGCCCCCATCATCACCGGGGGGCACCCCGTCCGTCAACACAAGAGCCGGCGCCGTTAGCGTCGCTGTCACCATGTTAAACGCCACAAACAGTCAAAACTATATTTTTACATCAACGGCGACTAAAAGCCTTTTAACTGTGACATTTTAGACCGAAAATTTAAGAAGTGGCTCAGGAGATCAAGTAGTTTTCACTGAGACTTTTCCCGAGCTTCCGTCAAAGCGCCGAAACAAAGAATTAGATCGTCGGCTAGCATGCCTTGTTAGCGTTAGTTAGCTTAGTCCGTTAACCAGCGATGCCCGGGCAGTAACTCAAGCAGGGTCCGCGGTTTTTATGGGCCTCAGCGTGACGAAAGCTGCCGCAGTTTCATTCTACTTGATGTATTAAAAGGGTTGCTTAACGTCAAATACATTTATTCAAATTAAGTACCCGGACTGTAGCTAATTTAGTAAAAGATATCAATTACACTGCAGTTAGACTGGAATACCGCGTGGATTTTTCATAAAAGCATTTAAACCAACTTTGTAGTTCAAGCCTCATTAACTGCAAAATATTTAATAAATCGGCACCAACAACACACAGTTCCATTGCCAGTGCCGTACGCTAGTACCAGGCAGCGCTGGCTAACAGACGCCATAAACACGTGCATGGTCCTTCATACATGTTCCTGTCAGCTCGGCTAATGGTAGCTCTTGTGCTGCTACATGCAAACCACAGTGAGCAACAGAAACCCGGATGTAACCTTCTGCAGCCCAGCGTGACTCGGCGCCCGTACATACAATGCTGAGTCTAACCAACATCTCGGGTTGTAATCCCTCGGCTATACTTTCAATCAGAGTGCGGTTTACCTCGATAACAATACGTCCGATGGGTTTGCCGTCAGCGGTGATATTGAAGAAGACTCTGGGCTTGGCCATTTCTGCAAGAGTCGGTGGACTGAAAAGGTTTTCAGCGAAGACACACTGCAGGCCACAAGGAACCGAAAAAGATGGAAGATTATGGATCAATTTTATATAAGGCGGCGGAGGGCGGTGAGACGATACAGCGCGCCAATTGATAACGCCAAGCTATTTATTGACAGCTAATTTAGCGAATCAGCAACCAGGACAGCTACCGCTCCCTTTTTACTGCGCTCTGAATGGACAGGCAGATGTCACGATGTGTTTCATTCGTTTATCCGAGTGTGCCACTGCAGCGGAGGTTAAATGTTTCCAGTCTTTGTCACGTGCAGCACCGCCCCGTTCTGGTGTCCCGGTCATAAATTGAACTTAAGAGTCTCAGAACAGAGCGCGCCACAGATGACTGACAGCTTGGGCGTCCAGTACGTGCTGCGCGCGCGGTGCTTGTACGTCAAGTCCCGCAGTCAAAGCGCGTTCCCGCTGACGGGAGGAAATGTGGTGCGCGGCCGTGTGATCAGGGCGCGGTTAGGCCTGTTCTCTGCAGAAAGAAAAAGTTAGGAAAGTGTATGTTTCGAGTTTGTGTTTTGGAATTAAAAGCATAAATCAGACACGTTCCTTTCTTTTACTGGCAGAGCAGCTTGACAGAGGTGGTGAAGTAGATATTAGCAGTGAGACTGAGGTGTATTCAAAGTGAAAACATGAACTATGGTTATCTGTGGATGAATACTGTTATGGTGGTTGGGTAGAATCAGTGGTGAAGAATTAGGCTACTCACATCCCTTTTTTAAGATAATAAGGATAATCACCTTTATTTGGCCAAGTATGTTACACACAAGGAATTTGTTTCCGGTACAGAACCGATGGCAGCCATCTGCAGCGCCAACATAACCGACGGCTCTAACCATCGGGGGCAACTTAGGGGAACAGTGTCTTGCCCAAGGACACTTCGACATGTGGACTGCAGGCACCGAGATTCAAACCTCAGACCCTCTGGTTGGGAGATGACTGCTCTAAGTAAACATAAATACCACAGTGTAAAACTACTGTGTTACAAGTAAATGTCCTGTGTTCAAATGTTTCTTCAGTAAAATACAAAAGTATTAGCATCAAAATATAGTCTACTTGGAGTAGTCAACAGTCATGGCCTGTGTCCCAGTAATGTCTCTGATACTGGATCATAGTGACTAATTACTGTGTCCATCACTTTAATGCTGCAGCTGGTAAAGGTGGAGCTGATGGTAACTACCTTATATACTTATACTGTAAAGTACTTTACATCCTGCTGGGTAGCTGGTGGATTTCCCACTGGGATCAATAGAGTCTAATGGTTCTACTGGGTTTGGTTTGATTCATCTGATTCTGGAATAGAACTATATGTAGTGTGTCCCACTGTAAAAGGTGGAGAGGATCCACACTGTTCTTGTACATTTGCTGGGTGATTCTGACTGAGAGGTGTGGGTGATGGCAGCAGTTGGTATTGATCAATGATCTTTAATGACCTTTGAAAACCTCCAGTTGATGCTCTGCCACGCTAGCATCATGCCCTCACCCCACCCCCACCAATGGAAAAACGCAGCATGAGTTTGTGAGGATGTTTAATCTAAACAGCGATGATCTGTGCTGATGATAAAGTGAAAGAAATGTTCAGGTTTCCAGTACAAACCAGTTAGAGACAGTCTATTACATCATCACATTATTTTCTCCCTTACAGGCTCATTCTAGAAATGTAGTTCTCCCACACTGGTTCCCAAACTGAGGATAAATCTGAGGTGTCACAGGATTCTAATTCACTTTCGGAAGGTAAACTAATCACACAGCAGCTAAAAGCAACACAACCTTTACATTTTCAGCCATAATAAACCAAAGCTGTACTTGTTCCATTCAATTCATCCACCCATTCTCTCTCCCCATGTCATTTGCAGGGTGGCCACGATCCCAGCTGTGATGGATGGGCTACACCTGGACAGGTTTCCAGTCTGGCACATCGAGACAAAGAGGAAGCTTGTTGTCTAGTAATGTGACCTGCATGTGGGAGGAAACTCGCCCACATGTGTACAAGATTAAAATGTTAATATCGGTTTCGACAAAAGGGAACATCATTATCTAAAAGTGGAATTTATTGGACTGCATCAGCACACAGCATCATATACATGACGTTATAGTACCGGTTAGCTTTTTATTTATGATTTTATATGTATATTTTTCTTCTTACCTCATTTGTTGTTGTGATCTTTAACAGCATCTGTTTTTAAAAACTTTCTTGTGCTTCATTTTGCTGATGCTCATAGTCTATAGTCATCTGGCCGAACTACCTCAGAGTATTATCTTGAATAATCAGTTAATCATATGGCCTGTTTTCAGTCAGGATGTTTCTATCATTCAACCAAGAGTCAAAAAAGCAGATATACTCTGTTTACATCACAGAGGAAGGAGATGAGCAGCAAATCCTCACGACTGAGGAACAGGAAGTAGGAAATATTCCTATTTCTACTTTTAAAATGAGTCAGAGGTGGCAGATGTACACAAAGTGAAAGTGCACATACTTGTTTAAAAAAGTACTCCACTATGAGTACCACTACCAGTTCTTTACTCCAGCTGAAGCACATGGTCTAAAAGTTACTTTAAGTACAAAAGTGCAAGTACACTGCTAACAGAGCAAGTTCTCTTGTCATCAGTGTGACCGAGTTATTGATGACGAACATCTATATCCTACAAACACTTGATGCCGTCGATCACAGAAACGTGCACATCTGCTGTAGGTTTGTTCCACATGGGCGTTGTAAATACTTTCTGTATAAATCTAAAGTATTCCGGCCTGTACAAAAGTATTAGCATCAAATGATACTTGAAGTACCAAAATTCAAACTACTCATTATGCAGAATGGCACAGAGCAAACAGTATTGTATCATTACTGTGTAAACACCAGTATTGTTGAAGCTGGTGCAGGTGGAGGTCACTTTAACAACTTACTGTACTGACAGGTGAACGTAATCCACTGGCCAGTTAAATAATAATACATCTGAAAATTACTAGTTAATAAACATAGTGCAGTAAAAAGTTCAGTGTCTTAGTTGTAAAGGCGTTGAAGTAAAAATAAAACGGAAACACTCAGGTGAAGTACAAGCACCTCAGAACTGTAACGATGTGCAGTAACTGAGTAAATGTACTTAGTTACTTTCCAGCAGTTATAATTATCCAACCACTTACAAATTCATGTCCTGTTGCTCGCTGTTGCACAGCTGCTCCTGCACGTGACTAATGGTTTGTTTCCTCACCTCTTTGCGTCGTTTCTCAGATTCTGATGCTTGTACCAAACAGTTCGTAGTTTACATGACCAGGCTCGATAAAAGCACCACAGACTCACCGCTCTGTGTCTTTCCACTGTGTTTATTAAATTACAAAGGTTATTATTATTATTATTAGCATCATTACTGAATCATACAGGTGATCATGTAGTCTTATGTTTTCCAGAAGCCACTGGACTCACTGGGACATGGAGACACACAACTGTCTGGACTCGAGTCACTTTACAACATTCAGACTACTGATGAGGAGGACAGGGAGGAAGAGGAACCTTTATTATCACAAATACAAACTGCAGTTGTCTCACGAGCACAGTGTGAGGCAACGACAGCAATGTTGTCCCAGGGGCGTTTTAGTCGCACATTTCTCTCCTGATAGCGCCCGTCGGGGGCGCCACCGACCACGTTGACTCAAAGTTCCAGAATAAAGTGACACTGTTACAAAACTTTCTTTAATGAGTCGAGTAGTTTTGGCCCCATTTCCACTTTTCCTTTGTCCAGATTTTACACTTAGCTAGAGGCAGACGGAAGTAAAACGCACCAGCTTCAGTCTATGAAACTTGAATATTCACTCATTAGGCGTCCTGATAACTGTGGTGGAGGGCGTTGTGCAGCTGTGGACTTCAGCCAGCCACACCACCTCACCCTCATCCTTCCCTCACCCTAGGTCTCTGTGGGGACGCCCGCAGCCTCAACCAGATATATTCTGGTTTTAAAAGCATGACACATCCTTTGTAGCTCATTGTTACATAACATTAATACTCCTCATCACTGCTGAACGTCCCGGATCAATAAAAGTGACTGTGATGGAGTTTCTCTGTATTTTCATAGAACTGACCGGAAGGAAGAAAATCAGTCTTAAAGCTGGCAGATCATTTGGAGGATGCTCAGCAGCGACAGCGAAGACCATCTAGAATTAAAACTCACTTTAAATAGAGTGGAGTCGCTTCCTGTGAGCGGAGAGGCAGCGAATGAAGGGTGAAGCATCAAGAAAATAAAAAACACTATAAAATAAAGTTACCATCAAGTTCATAGTCACACATCAAAAAGTTTTCATATTTAAAAGTTGCTTTTGTTTTGTTTCTTCTCATCGTCTGCTCCATCCTGTGCAGATGGCAGCCATGGTGAACCAACAGGGAAGAGTTCATATCTTACAGTAACATCTGCCTAAATTCTGGAGGCGCGTGAGCGTGTGTGTTCAGTTGTTCTCAAACAGGGACAGCAGGTCGTCGTTGTTGTTGTTCGGTAGGTCTGGAGGTCCGAGGTAGGACAGCAGCTCATCTGGGTTGGTCAACTCCGGGAGCAACTGCAGAAACAAACAACATGTTACAGTCGGCGTGGCACCCCACGGGTCTCCATTCGGCTTCCACACCTGCTAAAAACACAGTACAATCTGTTTGCATGCACAGTAGAATCTGGTTTCTACTCACGTCCAGAGAAGGTTCTGGAACTTCTGTGGACCCCCCAAGCCCAAAGGAGCTGTCGCCTTGGAGACGGGGATTCTGGTTGCTACGCTGCATCATCTGGTTGCCGCCCGCCAATTGAGCACTGCCGTGGAGACCCTGTGACTGCTGCTGGGAAAGAGGAGCACCATGGGAAGTGGAGTCCAGACGACCTGAGACTGACATCTGATGAAGGAGGAAGGGGGGTGGAGAGGGAGGAAGAAAGGAAAGGCAAAAAATGAGGAGGTTAGGAAATAAGGAAAAAAAGAGAGTGCAATAAGAATCTAACCAACAAAACACGATGATCATGGTGGGGGTTACCATACCTGTCCAGCCATAGAGTGGTGGGGGGGCTTGT